GGAAATGAGCCTGCAGTACCACTGCTCAACCCATAGTATGCAGCAAAATATGTTTTTATACCAAATACTTCAGATTTGAACAAATACGAACAAAAACATCAAAATTAGCACAGAAATAGTACTATATAACATTTTAGACACTTTATTTAGTTTATCAGCTAAAAAAATTTTAATTTTGGGGTAAGTTACCCTTTAACGTTTTAAACAACAATGAAAAACATCAGCAGATCTAAATCTGAGTTTAAATCCCACACATTTTCTGCCCCCGTATTTGCATGAGCTCTCTGTTATATTTTGATGGAAAATGTGATACACCAACAGCGCCCAACTTACCAACATGGACGTTTCAGCAGTCAAATCTTAGCAGCTTTTTGAATCTAATCAGATTAAACATTGTCTTTGAATAGTATGAGGTGGGATTTTATTTAAAAAGGAATAATTTATGGTCTAGTAATCAAAAGTGGTAATGTTTTGTTCAGATGACTTCACAAAACTGCTGGCATTATTGAACCATAAAATTCCAGCACTGGTCTGCTGCTCACACGAACTGAGTCAACTTTTTAAATGCTTTTTTCCCCCTCTTTATATTCTACACTGAAAGGCTTAGCTTATTAGTTAAATGGYCCACAGTGAAAATAAACATTTCATAAGGATTCTCCAATGACCTTGTGCAAACGGCGAAGTGATTTTTGGGTCTAATAACATAAAATGGAATAGCATGGAGGCCAGAGAGCTGAGCTGCTTATAGAAAAATATAAATAAATAGAGATAAATTGATTAATCTGCTGACCAATTTTATTTGGCTAATAGCAAAACAGGCAAAAAATAAATATAAATAAATAAATAAATGCATGAGTTCCTATATAGTTTGTAAAATTTAAATTTAGGTTAAGCAATTATTGTTAAGTTTTCTTGAAAGAAAAATGCATATTGGCCAAAACACATGTATTATTGCTTTATAAGAACAAACATTTTCACTTAAAGCATCGAGTCAACAAAAACAAACGTATGAACATTCTGCATGAACAAGTTCTTTTATATGAAATGCACCATTGATGTTAACCTAAGCTGCCCCACTGATCTGACCTGCTGGGAATAAAAAGAAATATGGGAGGAGAAGAGGAGGGTAAGGCAGAAGGTATGAAGCACAAAGGGAAGCTAAGGAATCTCAGGATGTGATTCAGTATTTGTCCTGGCCTGGAAGAAAACACAAACACCTCTGGTTTTAACAGAGAGAAGGTAAAGAAACTCTAAACAATGTTATGCAACTCTAGATTAAAAGGAAAAACACTTTACATGAGAATGGTAAAAAATATATATGAAAATGTGCATTTTCACTAGTAGACTTGCTGCATGACAGAGTTTTCCCTTAATTTTACACCATGCGCTGCTTACTTGTTATGGAAAAAGGGAGCCGAGATGTACATGGAAATCTGACACCCCAATTACTTACTGCTGCTTCTCCTGAGACATCTCCCAAACCAAGCGTTTCTTTTAAATTCCAACCTCTTATAGGTTTACTTGGTGTAGAGTATATTTGGGCACAATTTGGACTTTTCATCTGCTACTTTGCAAACATTTTATACACACAACTCCCATTGTAAGAAAAGCTCCAGACCTAATGAGCTCATTTCACAGCCACATTTCTGACGAACGAGGACAGGGAGACGAGGAAACTGACATTAGATCAGCAGATGGACTGAGACCTCCTAACAAAGCCTGAGAAGCTTTCAGACAGAAGCAAAACAACAGAAAAATGTCTAAACTGTAGGTGAATGTTTATGAAATCCAGAAATGAAATACTTGCAGCTCATTTACAAATAGGGTGCTCACATTTAACTTAGAGTAAGATTATGATGAAATTCACATTTGTATGTATGTATTTAAAGGTTTTTGGACAACTGTTTCACTAATTGTTTTGTGGTGTGAACATTTTCTTTATTTGCAGTCATATGTAAATAAACTTGGACATTTATCAGTTAAAATATTAAAGTAATATGAAATTGGCAGCTAAAAATGACAGTTTGACCTTTAAAACATTATCATAATAATTAACATTATTTACAYCTGGTGTTAGTAAGTCAGTTTGGATTATATGGACACATTTGACAGACTTCTTTATTTTGATGTCAAATGTTCTTTTCTGCTGTTCTTTTGCTTCTAAAGCAGAAGACATTTTAATCAATAATAATCAAAACACATTTTATATACTGTATAAAATGTTGATGAATAAACAATGACAATTATAATAGCATTGATGTTTAATGGTTTTGTTTTGAAGAGACATGTGTTTAAAACAAAATTACTTAAACTCTACTCATAAAAAATATCAGGCTTGCAGTATTGCACTACATAAAGTGCTAACATTRAAATTGCATTGAAATCTGTTTGTTTATACAGCTTCAGAATATTTTTATGCTTGTTTAAACTTCACAAAATGTCAAACAAATGTTACAAAAAAACAAATTTCAAACCGAGTTTATTTTAAAATACTCTTATGCCCATGTAACATATTACAAGCTAGAAATATTTACTTTATGTCTTGACCCACAGTACAAACCTAATATTAGGTGATAAAATACAGTGGACTTGTCGACCTCAGCATTCAAAGCACGATCTGGGGGAACTTTGGAACTTAAATAACCAGACTGATAAACCCGTTTGATAAAAATAAAAATCTAAAAATATAGTACAATAACTTAAATAATAAGCTGTTTGTCATGTGCTTTTAAGGCCCAGAAAACTTGGCTGACTGGTTTGGATGTTGTTCTTATAGAGTCTGACTAGAGATACTTTACACCCAATTTACAACCAAACTGGCTACCTGATACAGACCACGTCCGAGAAGGCGTCAGGGTTAAGTAATAATACCCAGTTATTGAAACCGTTGATGATTTTAGGTCCTGTTTAGACATGAACGATCACTAGAAACTTGCAAAATGTTTTATTTTATATTATTTTTATTTTTCTGTTATTATTTATTTTTCTTTTTCTACTACTGTTTGATGTTGTTTTGTTTTTACTGTCTGCAGGACTACAGATGTAAATTAGCCTTAGGCTAAATCTGGTGCAATGCATCAAATGTTTTTATGTTTATGTTTTAATTGCACACTGTCCTGATTGTATAAATAAATTCATTCATTCATATAAAAACATGCAACATGTAAAATAGGAGAAAAAAAAGGAAATGGAAAATTTGTACAATTTTCCATGATACAACTTGTACATATAATTTTAATTTTACAATAATATGTGAGTACTGATCTATATTTGGTATGCGGTTAACTATAAGATGCAAGCTGATCGTTAAAGGGGGAAAGCTTTTGTTTCAGTGTAGCGTTGAATATGGAGTTCTCTCAGTGTAAACAAAGTTAGGGCAGTGCCACATCCTCCATGAACTTTTTTTTTGAGACGTGCTTTCATAAAACAAACGGAAACATGCTGTGATAAAATAGCACACCTCAAGGAGTGGTGGGAATCTCAACATACTGGACACAGCACAGGCCTGAGCCTTTACTAATAAAGTTAGGCGCTTTGGGGCAAAGTAAAAGCGAGGATAATCTTATTTATCTGACTGTTAGTGTTAAAACTTCTGTTTAACAAGGGGGTGGGGGTTCAGGCATTGCCTCAGGCAGGTAATGTGACCCTGCAAGATTTTACAAGCTTTCAAGAAAGACAACAAATAGTCTTCTGAAAAGAACCGTAAATTCAAAGGCCCCTTGTGTTTCGTAATATCTATCATGATGACGAAATGTTTGTTAATCTGAACAGTCAAAACTCTTTATATTAGAACTGGATGAAAATGTTGCTACAAGAAGCAGTTCTGGTTAATGCCAGTGAAACGACATGTTCACACAAGCAATGCAGATGTAAAAAAATCAATCAATCAAATTAATTTACACACACAGACGTGCAAAAACAGACAAGTATTACCATGTCTCCAGGGATCCTTAGGCTCCACTGCTCCAGAGACAATATCCGCATCTGAAGGAAATGTCACCTTTTTGCCACTAGGTTTCTGTTTATCGTCCACATCCTCCACCAAGGGGTACAGTCCAGCTTGGTTAGTGGCAGAGGCCTCAGTGCTGGATGTCTGCATTGCATCTTCTTGGCTTTCTACAGTTCGAACAGATGCTGCATCCTGAGGAGTGGATACAGAGTCCGAAATATTATTCGTGTTTGACTGAACATTTGCAGATTCAGCCTCCAGCACGCCAGTTTCATCCAGACTCAGATCCACACCCATGTCCATATCCCCACCATCATCCCCCTCTTCTACAAGAACTCTTGCCGAGTCACTATCCTTCATTTTCTCCTCCTTAATAACAGACCTGTGCTGCTCATCGTTAGACAAGATCAAGTCAGTGGGATTATCTACAGCAGAGGAATCCTGGGCACAGCTCCTTTTATTCCCATTGACTTCATCAATTTTCATTGTGTCTCGTGACTGGTTGTTATCTTCTTCGGCAGCCTGAAGATTGTCAGCGAGTCCAGGCATCAGGGTGGTTACAGAGTCCTCTGTGGGAACAAGGTTTGTTTTTTCCCYGTCACTGTCTGTCATCATGTCAGAGATCCAAGGGGTGATCCCTTCTGTGCTGTTTGTAGTGTTATGATCATCATCCACGCTGCTCTTTGATTTGACAATACACACATCTATATGATTCTCTTCGATATTCATATTTACATATCGAGTGAAACTCAGTTTTTAACTGTGCTACACCGAATGGACAAAGTTAAACACTAACTAAATACCAAATAAGATAGATAAGACTATTTCTGCTTGCTGACCTTACAACAATTTATGCTGATGAGCACCTRTATTTGTCCTTTACTGGAAAATCACTCAAGTGTTTTACATTATATTACTTACTGGAGGTTGTTTTTAAACAGCTGATATCAAGACATGGGTGAATCAACTAATTAAAGTGCAATTTCATATAAACATTAACACCAGAACTGTGTGATGATACCTGTGCAAAACAGATACTGATTCAGTCTTAGACATAAAGCAAACTTGGCTTAATATCCAGGCAGGTAACAAACACTGTGCTCTATTGCTTCAAATTAGAAACGACGAAAGTCTCCTTAGTCAACACATTGCCAGCAGTAATAAATAGGACCAGGCCAACACAGAAACAAACAAGACACTCAAGGTGCCTCCATTACGGTGAGCTTACAATCCGACACCGAACCAAGTCGACATGAATTAAAGAAAGCTAACATTTGTTAGCACGTCCAGGCCCGAGTGCCGTCGCGTGCCTGCTTCCGTTCGTTCCTTCAAGTCCATTCTTTCACMAGGAAAATAAAATAAATAAATATATGTTTCCACTGTAGCTCTCTTGGTCTCACCCTCCTCTGTCGTGCTGCAACTCTGCTCTCATCACAACCCTCAACCAGCGGCAGCGAGGAAAAAAACAGGCGTCACACTCCGAGCAATGAGCAGCATGTTGTTTAACCTTAACCACGTTAGCGTTAACGGAATAGTGCCGAGGGCTAAAGTGCAAACTGTTTAAGGCTGTAGAGACGAGATTCCCACCAGTCCGGTCTCGAGAGTATATCGGTCTCCTGGAGAAGTCAGGTGAGCTTGTTTTTTTTTTTTTTTCGTCCAGCTTTACCCTTCGCTTAGCCTGTTGAAGTCCAACAACTGTTTTGTTGTTCATGCGTCTTACGTCATCACGTCGTTTCACGCAACTGGGTACGTTCAGCAAACGCGGTGTTGTTGAAGGCAACTAAAYCAACAAGGTGCTCATTAGAAAATATCAGGTAAAAAAAAAAGGTTATTCAGAATCATATTTAATGGTGCCGTTTGAAAGAGTTTGCTCCAGCAATTTTCCCAATGTAATGATATGAAATTCTGAAGTGCAGGTACGCACCATATGTAAACAAAGCACTTGGCTGAATCTTCCAAAAAACATGTAGAAGCTTGAGTCACATGATTGACCTACATAAGGCTATCCACTCAGTGTAGGTAAACAAATCAGACACGCATAGAAACTTGGAAAATACATTTAGATTAAAATATAGAAGTAAATCTGCTGCTAAAAAAGYAATACAGCTTGTTCCCACATCTGTGGACATTGCCTATGCAGACCTGACCTGTTTAAATCACTCTGCTTTTTCTGATCACTAATTTTTAGTCTTAGGACACAGCTATGAGAATAAATTGTGCTGAACGATTTTGATTCTTATGAGTTTTATTTGACCCATCTTCATGATATTGCAAKGAGTACATGTAGTTTTAAGTGTTCTTATTTACAAAACATGCAGCTTATTAAGACTATTTAAGGCATAGACTCAGTTTTATTTTGGATTTCACAGTTTGAAACCAGTTCTTTACACTTTTACTTTTTAAAAATCCAAATAAGTGACTCTTTCTTGCACATTTTAACCCCCCACCCCTTCAACACTTGATTCAAAGATTGAATTTCATCTTAAAATTCTGCAGAAGCCTGTTACTCACACAGTCAATCCAATCTGGTGTGTTGGAGCAAGGGACCTCCAAAACATGCATGACTGTGACCCTTAAGGACCAGGACTGGACACACCTGGGCTAGCCTGGTAGCAAAGTGGCCTTTGAATGATTACACTTAACATTTTGCATGTACACTACCTTTACGCTCAGTGGAAAGCAGCAGGAAAGGTTCCTCCCTTTGTTACACATTTGATAATTGCATTTAATGACAAGACAAACTTACAAAAAATAAAGCTTTATTAAATATAAACCCWTAATATGCTAAATTTAAAGACCCTCTTGGGACTGGACATTTTTTAAAGAACCCTCTTCCTTTGAAACCTCAGCTGGATGTTTGGGAGCGTGACACCATCTGCRGTTGGGGCTCCTGCCAGCATTTGGTTCAGCTCCTCAGTTAAAACTCTTGGGACTTAACAGAGCCACCTTCCTTTGGAACCATGGTCTTCTTTGGGAGCAGGCTCGACTGGATGTTTGGGAGCACGCCACCTTCTGAGATCATGACTCCTGCCAGCAGTTGGTCGAGCTCCTCGTCGTTCTTCACGGCCAACAGGATGTGACGTGGAGTAATGCGCTGCCTTTTGTTGTCATGGCTGGCTCTCCCGGCCAACTCCAGGAGCTCAGCACAGAGGTACTCCATGACGGCTGCAAGATACACTGCAGCACCGGGGCCGATTCTCTTCGCGTATTGACCCCTTTTGAGCAGCCTGTGGATACGGCCCACTGGGAAAGTAACTCCTGCCCTGACAGAGCGAGATATTGCAGTTTTTGGTTTGCGAGAAGATTTCTTTCCTCGACCAGACATCTTTAGGCTAAAAAAAAGTAGCAAAAACATAAATGACAATTTCAATGGAAACAAGTTCTCCAACTGGCACCACAAAKTTAAACTAATTCAAATTAAATTGATTAGGCTTTATTGAGCACAACCAATAAAACCAACTTACCAGCCCAAACCACAGTCACCAGCCATGAAGTGAGACACAAAACACAGCTTTTATGACAGCCAGCAGCGATTTGTTGATTAGTGACAGCTGGGTGTAAGGAGAGTTAGAAAACACTGCCAAAGTTGTGCTCTTGATTGGCTCAAAACTTCAAATTTAATTACCAGCCCAACAACAATAATAANCTGCATTTAATCTTTCTTACTTAGTTGAACTTTGTTTTACTTGTCACTCTTAGAAGACACAGGGCATTCAATATCAGCAGTGAAAAACGATCCCAGCATTTAAAAACATCCCCAGCAGAGGGCAGCACAGACCACAGGTTTCATGTGCCTCCTGCCTCCTCATGTTTTCATTATTTTTTATCAAAATAGTTGTCTTTACTAATGATTGATCCTTTACAAGTTTACACATTTTACAACAATTTAAACTGTCCTTGCTGTGTGTGTTTGCAGGAGTGCCACATATGTGCAACAATTACTTATATCCTGCTGTTGTCTGCAACTTATTTATAACATTTTCAGAAACAAATTTTCACAGAAATGCCGTGGGAAATTTTAACTGCTTGATCATTTGTTGGTACCACCATAAAAAAAGTTCTCACAATGCCAGCCTCAGAATTCTTGTCTAAACTTTTATTTATAGGGAGTCAAACATCATGGAAACACGAAACTGAATTGAAACATAAAGTATTACTGAGACTTTTTGAGTTGGGTGTGTTTGTCTGTTAGCAAAATATCTCATAGACCACTGAATGAATTTTAACACATTTTTCAGAGAAGCATCATTGGATGTTCATCTACATCTGATTTGCTTTTGGAGTCAACCCAATTCAAGATGGCTGCCACAGCWGACTGAACTCAGCCTTGAAAGTGATCTAGTATTGCCTCATTTTCTGCCAATTCTAACCGACCGATTCAAGACTTACTGAGATTAAGCCTGCAAAAGGAGTTAAAAACAGTTTTATATGAATGTGCAACAGAGTAAAATAGTTTTTTTTGAACATCAAATCATATTGGCCTTGTTAGAATAAAACAAAAATAAACTGTTACATCTGAATGAAACAATAAGCAACTTGTTGACAGTATCCTATCTCAAATTTGTAGGTCTGTGGTTTTATTCTAAGTATTTGCTTCCACTTCCGTGATGGTGGGAGATGGAGAAGAAAAAGAGAAAGACAGTCTGGGTTCACTTTAAAGTGTGGCGACGAGCCAATCGCAAAGCAGCAGGAAGACAAATTAAGCAGGGACCTTCCCAGCAGGTCGTCCTTGGACCGACTGGATGCGATTCTGTTTAACCTCTCAACATCCTCTTCACACGAGGACGACAGCCGTTAGTGCATATCAGTCTAACTTTCGAGCACGATGGTGCCAGTACACACATGGAGCTGTTTCCTGACTGAATTTATTTGCACTCTGCTGAGACCACACCACCGTATTAGACTGCACGTTGATTAAAAAAAAAAAACATGTCAGCTGCCGTCATTGAGGAAAGCCATTCGTTTTCATGCAGTTCTCCTGAGGATTTTTGTCTGGATAAAGGCTGAAGGCCTCCTGTATTTATTAGCAACAGTAGTTACTAACACTGAAGTTTCCAGGCAGCTGCTGAGAGAAACTAAAAAAGAGATGAAAGAAAGAGGCGAAAGAAGCCATGAAGGCAAAACCAGACGCCACAGCTTTTTGCTCTTTTTTTGTTTGCATTTGACTTGACAAAAATCTATTTGGATCAAAACCTTGTGAAATAAATACATTTAGCAGTAAGGTAGAATTCTGTTGGATTTCCTTTACTTGTTTCTTTGTACTTTTCTGCACCGTTATCTGTGAYGTGCTCATAATTACCCATTTCAATAAAATCTTTGAAATATGGCAAAATGAAAATTAAAGTATTCAGTAACTGTCAACTTTTTATCAACTACGTCTTTTATGGACAATACTAAGCTGTAAAAAGGTGAATGAGTGACTCTTACCGTCGTTTGAAGTTAATAAAAAGTGAATTATTGAAGGATTTTCACCATAATGGACAGTGAGTCAAGCTTTGAGTGACCACTTTAATTATAAAACCTTATGGAGACACAGTGATGTCATGAACAAAGGGACCCTTAGAAAGGACTAATTATAAAGCTTTGGTAATGGAATTTGTGCCTCTATCATCCAACTATGATGCCAAATTAGCGATTTGGTTACAGCGATTTTTTTTTTACATTTTGCGTAGATATGCATGTCAGAATGCAACATTTTGGCTGTATTTACGGTAAATAAATCATGTAACATTTCATGCAATTTACTGCCTGTATTTCCCATTAAAGCATGACTGAACTTTTGCACCTCTCATGTCTATGTGGCAGGTGCCTGGTGTATTCCACAGGAAGAAAGACAATCAAAAGGAAAGGAAGTATTTATCTGAACAGCTGTTAACCTACATTATTTGTAACTGGATCAAGGAAATCTAGGACAACCTGAAACTACAACTGAAAGGAATTTCACCCCTATTTCTGCTACACCAAAACATTTTTGCAGCTCCTTGTTGTTTTTCATAAATTTAGGATCTTGTTCTCAGATTTTTACAACTATTAGTTTCACCTGGGTTTTTAATCGCAAAGGAAATGTAATAAAATGAGGATGCTGTTACACACCCTCTGGAATACCTGAAAATGTGAACAGATTCTTGCCTTTGGCTTGCCTTTTAGCAGCTATAGAAATATTGTATAAACCATGTGTTTCAATGAAAAATGGCAGGCTACTAATACAGTAATTAACAGGTGTTCTCATTTGTGACTTGGCACCAGCCTGTGTTTCTCTTCCAGTCAAGCCATTATATAAATGAGCAGCTTGGCCCAGGGTTTGGAGATCATTGTAGTTTTGGAGTCTCACCCAGAGAAGTGGTCACTCTCGCAGGCGACCAGACGCTGAACAGCCTCAGAAAGTAAATTTGCCTGATAGACTATCGCCTCCTGAGAAAAAAGGCCTGCAAGACTGTGATTGTTTTTCCACAACCTGCTTCTGCAACCGTCTCAGCTCACTTCTTCTCAACAGACCAGAAAAAGGAAACTGTTATATGAGATAAACATTGAAATCAGTGTCTAAAACATTGGGCAATAATGTAACTGCTGGTGTATATGTTGCTTCGTTTGTTTGCAAAATGAACATACTTACTGATTAACATTTGGAGTCATTCCAATTGAACCACAGTTAATTGACCT